GGAATTCAGTCACCGCCTCTGGAGCATTCTTCTCAAAATTTCATCAGCCAGTGAAAGAATCAAGAAGGAAGCAACAAGCACTCGGGCATTCTCCCTCCGCCATGATTCAGAGCTCCTTTGCTCTTGGCAAACGTGCAGTTTGGCTCTGCGGGCACAAGCCAGTCCATGTGAAGTAGAACAGAGAGCATCTGCTTTGTGGGTAGAAAATGAAACATTATCTTTTAGTCATTTCCTTTCTTCTGCCACAGATTTAGAACTAAATGCAACAAGCCTGTTTCAAATTGTTGGCCTCAGAGAAGCCACCAGTTAAGTGGCGAGTTCAGAGCAAACGTATCTGAACGGAGGCAGAGGAAGGGAACGTATCTGGAGGCAGAGGAAGGGAAGACGGTCACACTTTGCAGAGGGACAGAGGGAACCCCCATCATTTTATTACCATGCTGCCCACAAACACCGAGGGGCCTTGTTTTTCTCTCTCCTCCTTCTTCAAATACTTTATACCCCGAGTTATTTCCCTACAAACTACAGAACACATTATTTTATAATCTCTCACCCAAACTCCAAAGCCAACATCTCAACATCTCTCTTACGGTCATGTGCTAACGCGGACTGCTCCAGATTGCAAAGCCCTTTGCGGTTTTCACTGGGGACGGGGCTGGGAGGCTGCTTTCACCTGCTCTTTGAACGGCCTCTGCGATGTAACCCAACAAACTCTGGCTTCATCTCGGACGGGAAAGTGGAGTGCGGGGACACCGTCTTTTGTTTTGTTTTTGTTTCTGTGAAGTTTTTGGCTCCCTCTGGCTGTTCTTCATTCCCTTTCATATCCCCTCAAATTGGTCTTTATTCTGGGATTTTAATTTTTTCTTTCCTTTTGGGTTTTAGAGCTGTTGGTTTCCACGGCAACCCCCAGCCGGCTGGGAACACAGCGTTTGCCAGGCTGGCCTTGGGGCCCTGCAGACAGGAGTCCTTTTCCGCTGGCAGACCAAGCAAGGGTTTCCCTCCCAAGTTGCCTGGAGCTCCAGTGGCTGCTTCACGCCGGGCCAAGCGGTGGGAGAATCCTCTCATTCGCCTCCGGCACTATGATTAGATTTAACCCAAATTCAGGGGGAGTTCATGGTTTTTCATGTCTCACGTGAAACAGTAAGACATGACTCGATCATTTGAAAACAATTTCCAAATGGGATGCTAGTTTTAAAATGTTACTGGACCTCTGCTCTAAGAGATTCTGCCCCATGTTACTTGTACTGACATTTTTACGGTATTGGTAGAGTCGCAGAGTTTCCCTGCCTTTATGCAGCTATTTACAGGCATGTCCTAAGACGCTGGGCCTGCTGAGAGGCAATTATCTACTTTATTTCTTTTATAATTACGAAAGGTGTATTTTACTTTGTAATCAGGCAAAATTAGAATGCGCTTTGTGCGAGCGTTACACTAGAGTTTTCTTGTGTTTTCTCCAGGTTCACATAGTGCATATGCATCTTATCATTCAGTTTTATTTGCTCTCAAAATTTAATTAATCATGTCCTTCAAGCAAATTATATATGTGTGTTTTAGAGATCTATATGTTATACTATATATTGTATAACATATCCTATATAACCTATATATTAACATATGCTATATTAGTTATACATAATGATATGTTAACATATGCTTTGCGTTACATGTAAATAACATGTTATACATTACTTATAATATATAGGTCAATAAACATCTGCTACAACTGTTCAATTTTAGCTGCACTTCAAACATTTGGTAAATCTCGTGTGTGCTTAGTTACAAAAGTCATGTTCAGTTTGGTGTTCTTCTGCAAAGACCAACATTTCTGTCTTCAGGAGGAGAAAGGACAATGTAGGTATACTCGAGAGGGACAAATACGCTGGGCCCTAGTCCCTCCTGGTCCACCTGTCAGCAGCCATTCTGTACTTAAGACACCTGTGGCTCTGGTCGATGCTATCGGGAGTGCCCTGAAACCTCTCTATTAATCTGTGGTCACAATATCTGACAGCCACCCCCACTTTGGGAGGTTTTCCTTGTAAATGTGTCCCTTGATTTTCAGTGGAGGATTACAATCTCTGTATTTCCATTTGAATCTCTATTCACTTGAAAAAGCATATGAGAGGTAAGTTTGCTGCTGCAGACCCTGGGAAGTCAGCATCCCATTTTGGGCCTTTTTCTGTCTTATGATCTCTGGATCGTAACTGGCTCGTCTCTGAACTTCGTGAAAGGACAGCTACATGGTAGACTGAACAGTTACAGCTTCCCTTTGGAATAGAGAGAGATCTCCCCAGGCATCCAATGGGTACTGTTTCCATGAGCGGCTGCCTACCTCTGCAGGCATGTGCTTTGAGTTTATTTCTCATCACAGTCTTGACAGGCTCTGCATACAGCACGTTCTCTCACCTCCCCCCATCACTTGTCTGTCCCTCTCACTTATGTTACTTCTGTCTTGGCAAAGCTGTCAAGGGCCATAAATCAGTGGATTCCTCCCCCCCCCCCCCATAAGAAATATGCATGAGGGCCAAACCTACGATCATCCCATTAACAACACCTTCTACCCAACATCACCAAGTTGCTGAGAATGTTGACATACACAATAAACATTCACAAAGAAGCTATGATATAGAGAATACTGATGTATACATGCATGACATTGACTTTTCGCCCCACCTGAAACACTCTGTAATGGAAGTAGAAAATGTAATCCTCAAATACCAACAACCTACTGCAACATACTGGATAAGGATCCTGTTAAGTCTATCCATTTAGTGATAAGTTAAATGGCAGAACTAATTCTCTGTTATTGCACCTGGGACAAAACGAAGCTTTCTGGGGCTGGTTCCATATGTGGATTATGCTATGAAAGCAACCATAAAGTGATTACGTTCTTGCAACTAATCAAAAGGTTATTTGGGTAAACATCCCAGGATAATCCGGAAACTATTGCTGGATTGACCTGATTCAACTGAACAACTTACATCACAACCAAGTACTCTCAAGCAAAATCATTTCAGAATTTTCCTATGATCCCGCCTAAACAAGTTACCTGACAATAGCCTAAGCTGACACAGTCCCAGTCCTCATACGTGGTAACAGGAGTCACTGAGACGTAGCTTTAAAGTACTATGGGAAGGCAGGATTAGTTATCTTGGGGGAGAATTCTCCAAAAAAATTCACACCAGTTTAAAATGAAAGATGCGGGGTGCCTGGGTGGCGCAGTCGGTTAAGCGTCCGACTTCAGCCAGGTCACGATCTCGCGGTCCGTGAGTTCGAGCCCCGCGTCGGGCTCTGGGCTGATGGCTCGGAGCCTGGAGCCTGTTTCCGATTCTGTGTCTCCCTCTCTCTCTGCCCCTCCCCCGTTCATGCTCTGTCTCTCTCTGTCCCAAAAATAAATAAAAAACGTTGAAAAAAAATTTAAAAAAAATAAAAAAAAATAAAATGAAAGATGCTTCGACTGTTCAGAAGAAATATGGATTGAAGCAGTTACTGAACATCAAAATGGCGTTAAATATAGCTTTAAAAAACGCTGTGGGTCCAACTCTAGAGATCTTTTCCATAGACATCAGTGCACATGTAAAAACCTAACAATAGCCTCATTTTAGTTAGATACGGAAAGCATGTGATGACTCTCACATGGAAATGTAAATATGGTAAATGCACGTATAAGGGCACAAAGCATCCTTCCGAACTGAATGAGAGAATTACGACGATGTGACACGGTGGTTAACAGGAGGGCCCACCAAGTGTTTGTAAAGAAATCACTGTAAGAAACCACTGTAAGAGGCTTCCGTTCTGTTAGTGTTTTAAAAATTCACAAAGGCACAAAGTCCCCTCGGGAGAGTTTGGAAGAATCTGCGAACTGTGAAGTTAATGAGCAATATTAAGCATGTCTATAAAATTAACATACACACCTTAGCCAAGCTTTAAAGATCTGCTGGAAGATGCTAGTGGATGGTTGCCAAGGGAACCTGGTGGAGGAAAAACTGTGTGTGTGTGTGTGTGTGTGTGTGTGTGTGCGCGCGCGCGCGCGCGTGTGTTTCCAGATCTCCTTTTATCTATGGGTACTCATTTTTCATACTTTTTGTCTAGGGCTAGGTCATGGGCAACAGGACATGACATTTATTTTGAATAAAGAAGCCTACAGATGTTTATTGTTAAAAAAAATTTTCTTTTAGTAAGTCATTTCTTTCTCTAGGCAAAGAACAGCCAGAAAGTGCTAAGTGGGAGCTAGTAGTGAGGAAGCAGAGTCATTAATTACTTAAAAAAAATTTTTTTTAATGTTTATTTATTTATTTATTTATTAAAAAAAATTTTTTTTTCAACGTTTATTTATTTTTGGGACAGAGAGAGACAGAGCATGAACGGGGGAGGGGCAGAGAGAGAGGGAGACACAGAATCGGAAACAGGCTCCAGGCTCTGAGCCATCAGCCCAGAGCCCGACGCGGGGCTTGAACTCCCGGACCGGGAGATCGTGACCTGGCTGAAGTCGGACGCTTAACCGACTGCGCCACCCAGGCGCCCCTAATGTTTATTTATTTTTGAGAGAGAGACACAGCATGAGCGAGGGAGGGGCAGAGAGAGACACACACACAGAATGTGAAGCAGGTTCCAGGCTCTGAGCTGTCAGCGCAGAGCCTGATGCAGGGCTCACGCCCACAAACCGTGAGATCATGACCTGAGCTGAAGTCGGATGCTTAACCGACTGAGCCACCCAGGCGCCCCTAATTACTTTTAGAACTGAAAAAAATAAAGGGCAAAATATGGAAGCTGAAGTGGCTTCTGGAAGGCTGTGAATAGCCCAAGTGTGTGAGGCTCTGGCACTTGAACTTTTATGAAAGAAAGATAAAGGTCCTTGAAGCAGCTGAGTTTAGTCAACACAGTGATTAAATTACACATGTGTGCTTATCTTTCCGAGGAAATGGAGATAGTTAACAAGCTACAGTGAACCTATTATTAAAATGTTCTTTTCTGTTTCAGAACTAAGCTTAAATATCTTAGGGCACTTGAAGGTCCTTGATACGAAAGTCCCCAGAACTAGTACGGAATGTGTACACAATGCAGGTCTCATGGCCCCAGTGACCAAGGCTGCCTTCAGCCTCCTTGACCTCCATCTCTTCATTCATAAAGCAGGGATGCCAAATGCCTTGAAGACTTGTGGGATTCCCTGAAGGACCAGCGGTGATGTCCGTAAGGCGGCTGCAAGCACGAGGTTATTCCTTGCTTTCCTGTCCAATTCCTCTAAGTTTATCTGGTGGAACAAAATCTCAATGCCTCCCCAGCCTCCACCTCTAAAAGTCTCTCAAGGAAAGAGAAATAAAAAAGGGAAGATAGCATGCTCTTCAGAGCACAGGGCTGAGGACTCTGATGACCTGGAAGATTCTCATCTCCCTACTTATTCCTTAATGCTCTTAATTAGTTTTCTCATCTGTAATAAAGGAGGTTACACTGCCCCCCCTACCATGATCAGCTCATGGAGCCATAGTGAGGAAGTAAAGGGCTTAGTATTTAACACAGCACGCAGTGTGGGGTTTAATAACTGTTTGCTACTTTGGTGATTGTTTCCCAACATCTAACTCTTTTTTTTTTTAAGTTTTATTTATTTATTTTGAGAGAGACAGAGATAGCACACAAGCAGGGGAAGGGCAGAGAGAGAGGGAGAGAGGGAATTCCAAGCAGGCTCTGCACTGTCAGTGTGGATCCCGATGCAAGGCTGGAATTCATGAACCATGAGATCATGACCTGAGCTGAAAACAAGAGTTGGGTGCTTCACCAACTGAGCCACTCCGGGGCCCCCAACACCTAACTCTTAAATGAGGATCATCAACATCTTTAGACAGTTGACAAAAGACTTCCTGAGAAGGTTCATGGAAGATTCTTCCTCCTCTTTCACACCCATCCCTGACAAGTCCCAAGGACACAAGGAACTGTCACTGAGAGGAGAGAGCTCTACATGGGTCTCTTGTATTTGTGAACATCTTATAAGACACAAAATATTCTACTCTTTGTCCTGAACTATCTCCTCAAGGATGCTTAGTGAACAGCCATGCAAGATAGACATGTCTCCCTCTAAGCAAATGCAAACAGGCTCTTTAGGTTCCCTAAACTTCTGTAATGCAACCCACTGCATGTGGTATCATCTGGTCCTCTCTGCACTGCCCTATGGGAGACAGGGCTCGGGAAACGGGCAAGAACACTGATCCTCTGGCTGTTGCGGCCGCTGTGAGTAATAAATAGTCCTTCATCTCTGACCCACAAGTATTGCGTCTTCTACCTGGATCTATCAAGCCACGGGAGGCTGCCTTATTAGCTTACAAGTAGGGCAGAATACAGACCCTTTGCCGTTCTGGACAGCCTCTCAGGAGCCCAAGGAAGTCCGGGATTTGGGAAGGCACTGAGGCAGGAAAGAAATGTGTGAGGGCCCCAGGAGAATCAGAGGAAAAAACAAGAGACAAGACACTCCCAAGTTTTGGGTAATGCCTTTTGGCTTATGAAGGTTCTTTAACATGTGAAAATGTACATTTGCTTAGTGAAATACTATTTCTGCTTATCACGTGTTTGAATAAATTCTGTACTAATGAGACAGCACCATGCGCTGTGTTCACTCCTACATATTACAGAAACTTACCATGTTCATGTTCTGATGAACACCAATATTAACGAAATCCAATTTACAGGGGTTGTCTAAGAAATTTTAAACTTTTCACAGCCAACTTAAATTTCCTGCTTCATCTGACAGTGGGAGGGGGGTTGGGGGTTGGGGTGGCACGGGACTGTTCAGAACAACAAAGTACTGGTCCTTGTGATTTTTTCCCACAGTAAGAACCAACATTTTCCACCCAGTTTAAGTTTATAGAATCATTCTTAGTTTGTGCCAAGTGGATTAACATTTCACTTTCTAGCCTTCATAGCTCATATACTGGCATCAATGTCAATAAAGGGATTTTATTTTCCACTCTTGCCTCGAAAAAGTAGGAGTTCCACACTCTTCTTCATTGCCAGCTCAACTACGAATTCTGCAATATAAAATGGAGATTTATTTTTTCCAAGCGTCAGTACAGAAGGTCTGCCATATTTTGTCTTATACTTGGAAGTCGATGCCATTATTAGTTCTCCTTCACAAAGGCAATATTAAATGTCACCTGTCAAATGGGTCACACACGTATATTCACTGAATAATCACTTGGCTCAGATCAAGAATTCAGAAGTTACTGGAGTGGCAGGGCCAATGATTATATCTCCCCAAGAGAGCCCATTGGCCAAAGGAGTCAGGAATACAGGCAGGAAAGGCCACGTATGAAGCAGGTTGGAGCTTCAGGGGGGCCCACTGCCGGCCGGCCTTCCCTGCCCGTTAGCCAGGGATGGAGTTCTGGCTAGTGCACCTCCCCACCGGGAATCTGGACTGAAAGATCTTGGGGATGGGGAAGAAGCAGCAGGAAGTGTCAGAGGCTTCATTCCCACAAAGAAGAAAGGGAGGGCTCTTGGCTGTGCTGTAATCTTTAATGCTCCACTTTCCAGAGGAGAATTGAGGTTCTCATGCAAGGTTCCATGGCTAGCGTGTAACTGAGATGGGGCTGTACGGATGAGTAGGGATATTAACCTTTGACATTTTTTTAAAGTTTATCTATTTTGAGAGAGATGGAGACAGCGTGAGTGGGGGGCGGGGGCGCAGAGAGAGAGGGAGAGAGAGAGAATCCCAAGCAGGCTCCCGGCTGCCAGCGCAGAGCCCGACGGCGGGACTTGAACTCATGAAACCATGAGATCATGACCTGAGCCGATACCAAGAGTCAGATGCTTCATGGACTGAGCCACCCAGGTGCCCCAGGCTTTGACATTTTAATTAAGGTTTTGCTGGTCCGGCAGGGCCTACCTGTCCCAGGGCTAGCTAATTCCTAGAGAGAGAAAACTACTGTCTGTGAGCACTGGCTCATGAGCACGCCTTCATATGTAAATGAACCCATCCAGAGCTCACATCCCCAGCCACCTCCTTTATGGGGCTCTCACATTTCAGGTCACTGTCCACCTGCCTTAGTGACCTCGTGGCCAGATACCAAACGACTAGAGAGAGCCAACCTCCCCTGAGCCCACTGATGTTACTCAAACTAGCCTATCCTGGCCCTGCCCTTTCTGCTTCCTCTGCCTTATCCATTCTTTTCCAAGAAAACCACAGAAAGGCTCTTGTCCACATTTCCCCTCACTCTCTCTGAGTGTTGACCCCCTGTGAACCCCAACAATGCCAAGCCATGCCCCTTCCTCCTGGGGATGTGAAGATAACACAAATTCTCTTTTCTTTTAGAGAGAGAGAGTGAGTGCACAAGCAGGGGAGAGCGGCAGAGAGAGAGAGAGAGAGAGAGAGAGAGAGAATCTAAAGCAGGCTCCAGGCTGTCAGCACAGAACCTGACGGGCTCGAACTTGCGAGTCGTGAGATCATGACCTGAGCCGAAGTCGGACACTCAACTGACTGAGCCACCAAGATGCCCCTGTTTTTCTGGCTACAGACAAGCCATGAACAGAGTGGTAGTATAGAACTAGTTATGCTAGAACAAGTTACACTTGCCAGGAGGAAGAACTTTGTAGAAGTCTCGGCTGCATGAAGAAACAGTACGTTCCTGATCACAGTACAAATTTAAGTGGTGAGAGGAGACACTGACTTGTCAGGAAGGCGGGACACAGGACTCCGTATTGGCCCGGATGAAGCTCTACATTACCTCCCAGACCCTGACAGGTGTCACCTGAATCAGGGCCATGAGTGAGAAATTACAGACTTTCAACAGCAGAAGATCGCTGGGGACTTCAGTAGAAGAGTGACTCTTACAATGATACACAAGATGGACTGCCACAAAGGGAGACCAGGGGCGCAAGGGATAATGAGGAGTTTCCAGTTGAAGGCCAGTCCCCAAGACCACAGAGAGAGGCTTGCTGGTGTGTACATGCATGTGTGCAGAGACGGGAAGATGGGTAAACTTGAATAAGAATCGACTTCCTCTCAACACCGGGGAGGAGACCCCTGGGCAGAGGTTCTTAGTGGAAAGGGCACCAAAGTACCCCGCGGGAAGGGTCTGACAGCATGGCTATTAACCTGCAGAAAAATCTCTAGGAAGGTCACAGTCCCACAGAAAGGAGACAGCTGCATCATGGGGCATCACTTTCGTGTGCAATGTGACGTATCTTGCTGGGGCTGGTCCCTATCTCCACACACCGATGCAAATCATTTGATTCAAAATGATTTTAAGTTATGGATTTCAGTTTAGGTATTCCACAAGCCTCCAACAGGTAAGGTATTTTTGGTTCTCCTTTGAAAAAGGTCACCCTAAAATAATGAAATCATGCAGAGGACAAATGTTTAAATCATCCTGTCAGCAAGATGAGTAAATTCAGAGTATTTAAGTTAGCTGTTTTAGAACAAGATGTTCTTTTGAAGTTGACTTTGAAGACCGTCCGATTTGGGGTAAAGACTCCCAAGGGGTACCCCCACATGGAAATGAGGGCAGTGGGAGAAACTGCATCCCAAACACAACAATCTGCACACAAACAGAACCAGCAATTACTTTGGATTCCATTCCTTTGCTCAATTAGGTCATAGCCACTTTCTCACTGGATCTAAATTCAGCAAACATCCATCATGGCCAACACTTCTGCCAAAACAAGCTTCCCAGAACAAGGCTTTTCATCATGCCACAGTAGTTTTGGAGTGAATTTTGGGATCCTTTCAGGGCTTTGGGTTGTGACAGTTTGAGGGTGCAGACTTGAACTTGGATGCAGGGCACTGTGGACACAGTCTCTGTTGAGTGACCTCATTTCCTGCTTCCAAGTGCTGACCTCGCAGCATAAGGATGACACCACCCACATATCCTCAACAGGGCAAATACTTTGGCCTATTTTTCAGGAAGCTGCGAAGTAACACAAATCCAACAACTTTCCACTCACTTGCGCTGTGCGATTAGATGCCATATACATGGGCCACGAGGGCTGAACCCACCCCCTGGGTAAAGCACACACCGGATCCTAAAAAGCTTGAGCCAAGAGGCCATACCCAGGATTATAGGGTTAGGATTTCATTGTAAAGTAGACAGTGAGTTGAGAAAGACCCCCAAACAATAACATTCATCACCAC